AGTATCCCATTCCTCGTGCTTCCGCCGGATGGTATGGCAGCTAGGCACCGAAAGAGTGTCACAACTTTTTATCACTAAAAACAGCACTTACTACCTCCGTCCATGAGGTTCAAAGTTTAAATAAATAAATAATAATCGTTCAGCTGTAGCACCCTTCCGGTGCCTAAATGCCATGCAACACGAAGGAAGCACGAGGGCTGGGATACTGTCAGGTTGCTCAAGCTTAGACAGGGGAAGTCGAGAGGCAGAGGTCGGGATCGAACCACGGAACTTTCGGTCAATAAATTCGCGTTCTAACTACTTGGGCCATCTCGCCCCAAGTTCAAAGTTTACACAAACAGCTCTCAATAAGGGCAGTTGACATGTTTGGCTAGACTGAAAAGTTCCAGCTAGTATATGACACCCGACAGACGATATCATGTACAGCAGTGAAGTTCGCGTTGCCGCAAATAACTACGATGGTATTGGTGGTCTAGAGTGCTGGGTAAGGCCACAGGACAGGGCAATAGCCCCAAACGAAATGCACACCGTACGATGCCGGTGAAGATCACAAGACTACAAAGGTGGCCCAGAGTTCTCAGGAAAAAGCAACCAGAAAACGAACCCGCCAAAACACACACGAGCTATTCAAACTTACAAGTCCACCCACGGACATATACCTGTGCAATGAACACAAATACGAGTCAGTGGCACTTTCAGGGTCAGCACGCTTGAACAGCTCCTGCGCCGCGTTCAACCGTCCGCCGGCCAACAAACGTTTGGTTCCTTCAAGAGCACGAGTGCGCGTGGACGAATCAATTGGCATGGGAAGACGGCTAAGAAGCTGGAAACAAAAGAAACCAATTAAGGAATTTGGCGCTATGTGGAGTGTGATTAGAAAGTTCATAGACCAACGCTGTTTTGATTTCTAAATCCTCCCAGAAAAGGTTCATCATCAACACCAACGACAGCAGTAGACCAGTAAAACATAATAAGTGTCATGCAATCATGTTGGAAAAAGCCTTAGGGATGAAAGAGAGGGGGTAGGTACCTATTACGAGGACGCCCTTGTTTATAAGAAAAATTGCCAAGAATAAGGTGTGCATATCTTTGAACAGTGTTGAAATGAACTTATCCTAGCATCATGTCAAATTAGGGTGCCATCAGCGGAAGTGACCCAGCGTTGTTCGTGCACCTTTACTGATACAGGGTTAGCGTACGACAGGCGAAGGTTACCTACGCAGTACGGCTAGGAAATGACAAAGTACATGCCATGGGGACCAGGTCCATGCCGTTTCCTGTGACGTTTGTAACCACTTACAAGCTCTAACCAGAAAAGAGCCATGTGCCCACAACACGTTACCAAGTCATGACCTGTCTCCGTGAACCTTGCGCTAAGAACCGCTTAAAACGGAAAACACCGCATATGTAGTACACACCTCAACAGGTGTACGACAGGATTACTACTGTGCTATTCAGACCAAGCGGTAAATATAGTTTCTGAATTACAGTGCGATCGCCCTGCTAGAGATGATCGCCGGAGACTTGTCTCTGACTACTCGATTGCCCATATCTGGGTCTGGGGTGGTCTGAAGGTGTATCAGTTCTTGTGAGAGCACTGAAAACTCAAAGAAAATTGCCCAGCTGGGACATCTTTCACAGTGGATAGCTGCCATCAATCCAACTAAAGCAGCCTGCTCAGTAGAAATCGAAAGGCCCGGGGTTGATTAGAGTCGTGGACGATTTGGCGAGGATCTCGAATTCCAGCCACTAAGCTGACCCAAGATGTATGACAACTAGGCACAGCACCATAACCTTAATCTTAGCTTTTTTGTCACGAGTCGTCGGCCTTCGGTGACAACCAACCAGTAACCCCGCACTCTGTACGTCAGCAACTATAATAGACATGCACTTTCCAATTACTCCCGCTCTCTCCAATCTCAGTACAAGACGGAAACCCTGTTGTCAATAGTTTACGGATATCAGACCTTGGCGAATTCCTGAAGATTCTAGCGCCACCTTGTGGAACATTCTCTGATCGCTCTAAAAAATGTGGTTTGTCTCTAAAACGGGTTGTCTGAAGCTACCATGTCTTTTAGTACGCTATAATGAACGGAGCAGGAAGCCAGAGTTGCACAGAGTTGCACCACCGTTCAGCAAGACACAACATCCATTGAGCGTACTTGATCTCAAACGGGTTCAGTGCATGCAGAGCAATATATCAAGTAGAGAAATTGCATCAATGCTACATGCAAGAAACCAGTTGGATAAGGAACCGAGACAATCAATGTTAGTTCTGAAACGTCGCAGGAAAGAATGAGAACAGAGGATATCAGTACTCACTTCGGCACAGGTCCCGTCAGGCTGAGGTTCCGCACAAATTAAGCGGACGTACAACCGAATGATAAACGAGGGAGGGAAACCATCGGATGTGGCAAAATGGGGTTTTCTGCGGGAAGCAAGATACTCCCAGGCTTCGTTCAAGGTAGACAGCAGCTCGGATCGTTTGCCAAGTTCAGCGTAGGCGGAAAGTATGCCTTCATAACCCTGGAGTGATGGCCACAGACCCAATCGGGCCATTATTTCTTTTGTAGAGGCCACTTCTTCTGGGCATCTGGAGCACAAAAACGTTGGCAGAAAACTACGGTCAATAAATGTGTAGGTGTACATTGGGAAACCGAACTCAAAGCAGACACTGTGATGAATGCAACGATCCTCTAACAAACCTCCTGAGGGAAGGACAACCCTGTAAGAAGTTGCAATAGTATTTCTCATCAGCTGAGATTCAAGACGCAATCCTCAAAAAAAGAAGCTCCTCTTAGGAGAGATGAAATATTCGTAAAGGTTTCCCTCCGAAGAAATTACTCACACATAAATGACCGCCTTGGGAAGACTACTCGTGGAGACAGATCGAAAGTTTCCAGGAAGCTATCTCTGTTCGGTGATGATTCCGGAGGGAGGAAACCAAAAAACAGAATGCGTTACACTAAAACTTCCCAAGAAAGGACACATACTGACAGACAGACCCTCACAACAAGTACCAGAGGGATTCGCAGGAGAAATCCCATGAGTAAACGCCACCCAGATAGAGTTAAGTTGGTGATCAATTTAGTCAGTATTCCCGCAACAAGGGTCACTACAACGTGGCCTGATGTCCCTCTAATGCCTACTCAAAGTACATGAACGCAGAGTAACAAGGTAGCCCACAAGGCGAGGCTAAAATAAGCCTACACTCTGAAAAAAAAAGTTCAGCTGTAGCTACCTTTCAGTGCATTAGTACCGTGCACCCCGAGGGAAGTATGGAGCTCAGATACAGTCAGGCTTTACAAGTCTGGACAGCAGTCGGGATGCCGCGAAGACCATTGTTCATTGGGATTCGATCAACCACAGAGATTTTAGACTTGGGAATGAGTGCAACCTCCCAATCCGCAGATGCCACCAGCCAATGTGCCAGAATCAGCAGGTACCAGAAGAGTGAAGTGTGAGACACTTGAGTTTGGCTTGCGGTGAATGACCGAAGTAGGGTTATGTACGCGTTTCGAAGACACAGCATACATCGACACACGGGGAAAGCAAGTATTCATGTTGTTCAGTTTGACACTGAAGGTTGCGACGCAGATCAGGTACTTGCAGTTAGGTGGGGAGGGGTTATTTTGGTTTATTTTATTGAGCAATAGTTTACGCACGGAACAATGTTTGGGACATTGGCAGATGGGGTGACTGTAGTGCGCATTTTGATGGGTGAGAGGTTATGAATGGTGATCGGCGAACGAAGAGCGATTGCCCAGGCCGAGAGAGAGGTCGTTTGTTGATAAGCACTTCACACTTGCTACGAGGGAGCAAACATGAATCATGCTTCGAGACGGGTCAATCGATGTGGTAAATAGGTATGTCTACCTGAACAGTTACATATGTTCCAGTAGAGTGACTGCCTACGGGCAACTTCTGTGAAATAGTCTCACAAGCGGCAGGTTGATAGACGTCTGTTTATCGTGTCTGCCTATGCCCCAACTGACTGTAGCTCTGACGCCGTCAAAGACAGGTTTACCGACACCCTGAATGCCCTTCTGCGGCGAGCCAAAAGCTCAGACATTGTGGTGGTTGCCGGAGATATGAATGCGCATGTGGGCAGGCTTAGTGCATCTGAGACTCAATTGGGAGGTCGACATAGACTGGACTCGGTACGTACGGACAATGAGGAACGATTGCTTCAGCTGTGTGCTGATCGCAGGCTGTTTTTATGCAGTACTAACTTCCGAAATAGCCGAAGTCGTCTGGCCACTTGGTGTCCTCCAACAACAGGTCGGCGACAAATTCAAATCGATCACTGCCATCAGTTACCGATGGCGCGGATCCATAACTGACTGCCGGTCGTTTTGGAACACATTTGTGGACTCCGACCGCAGTCGTCCGGAGTCGCTTCGCCCTACGTTTCCCGGGGTCGTGTAAGTTTCGGAGAAATCGCATGGCAACTGAAAGACTGGCAGATCCGGATGTCAGACAAACTTACAAGAATCATCTTCTAGAGTCTCTTCCAAATGCTCCACCATCAGACGTGAACTCATACTGGGACGAGATTGCCACCGCTTTGCACAGTACTGGGAATTTTGCCTGCGGCACGACCCAACCAGGCGCATCCAAGCACTGGATAGCAGACCGAATGATGGCACTACTTAAATCTCCAAGAAATATCCCAGCCGAACCCGAACATAACCCGACGCGAGGAGTTATCAGACGCCAACTGAAAGTGAGCTTACGATCCGACCGTGAAATATGGTGAACACAGAAAGCCAAAGAAATGGAAGAGGCTGAAAAAGCCGGTAATGGCCGAAGATTGTTTCAGTTGATCTGTGCGAGTGAGTGAAACCACCAAGCATCAGAATGGAACGACCATCTCGAATAAGGAAGAACGCCCTTGACCGATGGGCTGAATATTCCGAACAACAACTGTCGTGGCCACCATCCGGCACTCATCTACAGCCCACAGGTGAAGTAGAACCCTGGACGGTGAACGTGGAACCACCTACGGCCTCGGAGGTTTACGACTGCATATGTTCTCTCAGGCGCTACCGAGCTCCTGGTCCGGATGACCTTCCACCCGCACTGTTCAAAGACGGGGGTAAAGTTTTCAGTCAGCGCTTGTTCGATCTATTTGCTTGCATTTGGGAAACCGAGTCTGTCCCAGACAACTGGGGTGAATCGGTGATAGTGCCCGTTTTCAAAAAAAA